ATTTCATTCTGGCAGTACCTGTGGGAAAGGGTCAAAGCAGATATTACTGTCCTTATAGGTGAGAAAAGAAGAGTGAGTCCTACAAAACTCACCCCATAATAAGGAATTTCAACCCAGGATCCTGATTCTATGAGCAATGTTTTCCTTGCAGGAGAGCTTCTGTAGGAAACTGCAGTATCCCAGACTTCTAGGATACATACAGATTTACTTGAGGTACTAATCATTTCCACATTTTTAAATCATGAAGAAGTTATGCACAATACTATTAAAATATTTTTATACTATTGTTAAGGTCCCAAAAGCAAGCTCCAGGGATTCATTGCTATTATGTCAGGTAAGTTTTGTAAGATCCACCTGCCATATTTGATGGATAACATTCTCGTATTGTAACTCAAGCATGCATTTTCAAACTGAATAAGAACCTTATGTTGCTGACTTTGCTTATGGTTAAATAACAGTTAATGAGTCCAAGGAATAAAGCTATATATGATTGTTTAACATTTGGTAACTGGTACCCCAGCATTTTTACCACAATAATAGTAAATTTCACTTGATAGTATATTTGAGGGAAGATGATAATTTAATGAACCATTAATATAAAACAAAGCAGAGAAACCTGAATGCTAAAAGATCCGATTTTTGATGATGTTATTGCATGCTGAATTTCTTTAAAAATAAGACAGTTTTCAATCTTTTCCTTTCTAATGCCCTCACCAAATCACTAAATAAGCTGTAATTGCATGAATCATTTATAAAATACTTCAGTTGAGAAAGAGATGGGAAGAGACCAGGTAGGTATGCATCTTAAATGTGTGTGATCTCTAAAGGAAAAGATATTGTTACTTGGGGTGATACTGTGACTGATTAGATCTAGATTTTAAATTGTATTTGAACAAGTCATTATTTTTACTTAAAATGGAATGAATACTAAGACGATACCAAGATGTTCTGAACAGGAAAGCCCTATTAACACAGCTGCTATATATATGTCACATTCTGCAGAGACTGAACTGTGTATATTATTGTATTTTAAAAGAATAGACATAAAGAATGATGTCATAATATAACTGTGGCAACTATGCCACAAATCACAGTAGACAACTAAAAAATTTTATGACGCTCATTAAAACCATACTTGTATCAAATAATGATGGTGAGCCTTCATCTTTTAGTCTGTGATTACATTTTAAATTCATTGCCTTGCATTTTTAGAGATTGATTAGTAATATATGAGAATTCTATTTTATATATTATAGTAGACTGGTTTATACCACAGAGTCAGAGGCTTTAAATAATGTTTAGAATTTTAGCAATAGTCTAGTCAAAGTCGTTTAACATCTTTGGGACTTCAAATTCTTCATTTTAGCTTAGTAACTTAACCAAAAGCCTACAACTAATTCAGGTAGAGCAAAAACTGGAATTGAGGTCAGATGACCTATTCGGTATATTTTCAACCACTCTATAGTATGCCCTGAATATTAGGTGACCCATTAATTGCTCAAGGTCTTAGAATTAGGTAAATCAGATAGTACCCTTTACATTATAAACTTAAAGGGAAGATAATCCCTTCACCAGTGGTGGGAAACTTGAGATAATCTTATATAGAAAATAAATGGTCAAAACCTCTCAATATATTATATATCTCTGAAAGAAAAAATTTTGAGAAAACATAATTTTCAGTGGAAGTAAAACTTGGTCAAATAGATTCTGAGCTTATTCTCCTAAGTGTTCAATTATACATTTGTAGAGTTAAATATGTTTATTTAAAAATGGGCATGTTCTTTTCAGGATGTAACTTTTTCAACATTTTTCATTTCTACTACCACATGTCTTAGAACTTTTAAACACAAAAATTGTGGTGGCAAAGATAAATAGAAACATGGAAATTAGGAACATACCTTTCCAACAGATTTCTTGGAATTTACCTCTTCCATAGTCAAAAATAGACATGAACCTGAGTAAACTCCAAAAGATAGTAAAGGGCAGGGAAGCCTGGCGTGCTGAAGTCCATGGGGTCACAAAAAGTTGGACACGACTCAGCAACTGAACAACAATAATCAAAAAGCATTTGCTGCAACAAAGTAACAATAGTGAGATCATATAACTTCTTAAAATTATACCATCAGGTATTAATTTTAGAGACCAAAGATGAACTGAACTCACTTCAGTTGATAAAGTTTACTTTAAAGCCACATGAAGAATAAATAGAAGATAGGAAACTAGCTTAACAGAGGCACAGACAAGCCTCAGTTAAACCAAATTGTGATGGATGCAATACATGTATGGCCATAATGGGGAAAAGATGTGGTTTGCCTCAACAGAAGTCATCTTCTGCTTCCAACACTGACCCTTCTGTCCATGGGATTCTCCCGGCAAGAATACTGGAGTGGGTTGCCATTTACTTCTCCAGGGAATCTTCCCCACCCAGGGATCGAACTGGCATCTCCTGCAGTGCACATGGATTCTTTACCTGCTGAACCTAATCCATAATAACATACTACTAATAAAAATACCCTTGAAGCAAACGTCATCCACTGGATTGAAGTATTGTTTAGGAAATGGATGGTATTTCCTTTTGATTCATGCTTAAATTGGGGGCAGAGCTTAGACTTTCCATTTTGTTTCCTTACTAGTGAGTGTGAGTACTAGCTCACAGGATGCACCCAAGTCTAAGCGTGAAGTGACCACAGTCACACCTGCTCCCATTGTGACAGCTGGCTTCTCACACCTGCTCCCATTGTGACAGCTGGCTTCTCTAGTCTTCAACTGCAACTCACACTTTCTGCCAGCATGAAGCTAGCAGGATCGCATGGGCGCTGTACACTGCGGGACAGTTTGCTGTGTTTCTAGTTTTTGTCTTGGTCAGAGAATGAATGGACCTTATCATTAGGCCTTCCGTTGGTTTTTAGCTGAGTATCTAGTCTTCACTGGTGGACGGCATGGCTGTTGATGACAGAAGCACTCAAAGCTGATAAATTCAGGCATTTTGCTGATGACTGCTTTTTGAGTTTTAGCATTCCTTATGCTTAAAAGTCCTGTAAAAGTGATGTAAAACACACTGCTTTCTACTAGAATTTTGTTAGAAAAAATGTACTATAAATATATGCAAAATATAAAAGTATACAAATAAAAAAAAGTATAAAACTGAAGTAATTATTTAGATAATACAGGCAAAGAAATACTACATCGAAATCATTGAAATAGTACTTATAGTAGATTTTAAACTATTAAAAACATTCATTTTTATTTTATTAACAGCTTAAGGAATACTTCATTGTTTTATTCATTACATGATGGCTAAATGTTACCCAAATTATTAATAAATCTGCTAGTGACATCAGCACACCTTGTTTTATTTTATAAGGGACTTTACTCAGAAAGAATTGGAAAAAAAATATGCAATCATTGAAAATGTACAGTAAATTATTCTAATATGTAAACATACTATTTTATCTTAGTAAAACCCAGCTATGTTTTAAAATTGGGAAAAAATAAAATGAAAATTTCTGTAATTAACTCATGTGATCAAGTTAGAGGGTTTAATTCATATTAAAAATCTTCATTTGTTATTTAAGGCATTATCATTGCTGCAAATAGAAAGTATGTTAGAAATATTATGTGTAGATTAATACAAATAAAATCATGAAGAATAAGCCAGTTACGGGTTAAATTGTGTCCTCACCAAAATGTGAAGTCCTAACCTCCACTACTGTAGGCGCTGCTGCTGCTAAGTCGCTTCAGTCGTGTCCGACTCTGTGCGACCCCATAGACGGCAGCCCACCAGGCTCCCCCGTCCCTGGGATTCTCCAGGCAAGAACACTGGAGCGGGTTGCCATTTCCCTCTCCAGTGCATGAAAGTGAAAAGTGAAAGTGAAGTCTCTCAGTCGTGTCGGACTCTTAGTGACCCCATGGACTGCAGCCTACCAGGCTCCTCCGTCCATGGGATTTTCCAGGCGACAGTACTGGAGTGGGGTGCCGTTGCCTTCTCTGCACTGCTGTAGCATATGTCCTTATTTGAAAATAGGCCCTTGCAGGTGTAATTACAGTCTAATGACATCATACTGAAGTAGAGGAGGGTCCCTCACCTGATATGACTTTGTCCTTATAAGTAGCCAGCCATGTGCAGGTGGGGGCTTCCCAGGTGGCACTAATGGTAAAGAACCTGCCTGCCAATGCAGGAGACATAAGAGATACAGGTTCGATCCCTGGGTTGGGAAGATCCCCTGGAGGAGGGCATGGCAACCCACGCCAGTGTTCTTGCCTGGAGAACCCCATGGGCAGAGGAGCCTGGCGAGCTGCAGTCCACGGGGTCGCAGAGTCGGACACGACTGAAGCGACTTAACATGCTGGCATGTGAAAATGCAGAACTGCTAGAGATGTGTCTACAAGCCAAGAAACCCGAAAGGCTGCCCATAAGCCCCCAGAAGGTAGGGAGATAAGAGACTGGATTATACCTGGTAGGTTTCAGAGGGAGCCTGGCCCTGCCCACACCTTGAGTTTGCACCTCTAGCCGCTGGAATTGTCAGACAGTACATCCCTGTTGTGTTGAGCCATCCAGTTGGTGGAACTCACTACAGGAAACTAATACAAAGTCCTTCAGAAATTATTATTAACAGTGAAAGTGAAAATGAAAAGTCGCTCAATCATGTCCGACTCTTTGCGACCCCACGGACTGTAGCCCACCAGGCTCCTCCATCCATGGAGTTTTCTAGGCAAGAGTACTGGAGTGGGTTGCCATTTCCTTCTCCAGGGGATCTTCCCAACTGAAGACATTGTGTGAAATGTTAGAGCAGTATCAGTGAATCTGAGTATTCCTCTCCGCCTCGGCGGCATATTACTACTGTCGACTTAGTACTTCTTGTTAGTGGCCTGTTACAAGTAAGATAAAGTCATGTTGACAACCGTATGAAGAAACCTCTGGGTCTGTGTTGAGAGGCCAAATCGCAGGCCCCTCTCCAATAGGTCTTTTGAAAAGAATGTCTTTTTGAACCTTGTTTAGGTCCCTCAGACTCACCATTCTGGAAAAGATGCCAGTCTGCAAAATGAGCATATTGACAGTGAAAAAAAGCAAAAACAAGGCAAAGGTAAGACAGCAGTGACCTGGTTGGAGAAGACAGGAAGACTTACTGAAGAAGATAACTCCCAGCCTGGCTTAAAGAATGCATACAATTGCTCCATGCACTGGGGCGTTCCGAGGGATGAAAATGTTGGGAGGAAAACACAGGGCCCTCAGTATTCATCCAGGAGACTTAAAGCTTCAGTCACGCTGCGCCTCTCAAGGTTTCTCTCCAGGTTCCAGCTTTATGTCCAGCTTTCACACTTTGCAACATCTAACAAATTCTAAGTGAATATAGAATAGCATTATTTATTAAATCAGTATTTCTCTAATGTGAGCGTCTGCCAAAATGAAAAGGAGTTGCAAATATTAGGGCCCTCGGCTGGTTGGCAGCAACAGAATAGATCCTTCTCTAACATCAGCAGATACAAAACATGGTCCTTCCCCTAAACTCCCTCCCTGTGTCCCCTCGCCCACCATCTCAGTTTTCCCTGCAGGGAGACGCCACTAATCAGTCACAAGTCCGTTCACTGCTGACAAGGGTGCAGCTGACAGTGCTCATCTCAGCACTGAGGCGGCCGCGTCAGTTAGTCAGGGGTGGTGTGTGCGCGTGTGTGTGTGCCTGTGTGTGCGTGTTAGCACAAAGGGGGTGTGGAAGTCTCACAATTGTAGATTCCTTCAGAAGTGAAAGGTATAGTGGGTAAGGATCTCAAGGATGAAAAAACATAGAAAAGGAGCACTGTTTCATATGAAGTTGAGAGAAAATACAGTTTTACTTCCTCCAAAATATATGCTGTCTGCTAGTGCTAGAGAACCTGCCTGCCAATGCCAGAGATGTAAGAGACTTGGGTTTTATCTCTGGGTTGGAAAGATCCCCTGGAGGCGGAAATGACAACCCACTCCAGTATTCTTGCCTGGAGAATGCCATGGACAGAGGAGCCTGGCGGGCTACAGTCCACAGGGTCGCAAAGAGTTGGACATGACTGCACGGAAAATGCTTTACTTGTTTACAGAAAGATTTTGAGATACTTCGTGTAATCCGAGCACAGCTAAACCATCATTAGCAGGTGACACCAGCTTGCTTTCACAAGTGTGTTTAATATAGCATAATTGATGGTTTTGGTTCCAAAACAAGGAGCGTTTATCAGTCTAGCACCTCTTCCTCCTTCGTCTTCCCTATCACACCGTCAACTGTGAGTGGGGTGGCTTCCGGGGGCCAGTCCCCCAGACAGCGCCCCTCCCCGGCAACAAAACCAACGGAAGGGAAGCAAGCCCGGGAACCTGCCGCCCAAAAAAAAGGAAGGCCGGGGGGGTACCAGTCCAATTTTCTCTTAATATTTCAATATGAACTGGTTACTATGCGGGAATATGTGCAGAGAATTAAGTACACTGAACAAAACGAGGATTAGGACTTAGAAGATTCCATGAATTCTTTCAGCTCTTTGAGTATAATCACAGAAAGTCATATATTTCTTAATTTCTTTGTTTTTTAATTGAAGGATAACTGCTTTACAGAATTGTGTTGTTTTCTGTCAAACCTCAACACGAATCAGCCACAGGTGTACATATGTCCCCTCCCTTTTGAACCCCGCTCCCATCTCCCTCCCCACCCCACCCCTCTAGGTGACACAGAGCCCCTGTTTGAGTTTCCTGAGCCACACAGCGAATTCCCGTTGGCTCTCTATTCTACAAGTGGTGATGTACATTTCCATGTCACTCTTCCAAACAGCTCACCCTCTCCTCCCCTCTCCCCATGTCCACAAGTCTGTTCTCTATGTCTGTTTCTCCATTGCTGCCCACAGCAATCAGAGAAGAAAAAGAAATAAAAGGCATATATTTTTATCCCTATTTACCTAACTCTAAGCATACAAAGAGGAAACATTTCAAGATATGAGGAAAATTCAATTACAACGAATACAGCAAAGTGCCACCTGTGTTCAGATACCACTTTCTGCACACAGTACTGGCAACCTACCTTCCTGGGCCCCATGCAAAATGAAAAGGTGGAGCCCCTCGTTGAAGACATTATTAAGAACATCGAGACGGCAATAGCAGAGCTTTAAAGCAAGCGTGGACCCTTTGAGACTGTGTGACTGCATAGGTCCTGCCCCTGTGAAGCCAGCTCTGTCTTTTGGTTAGACCTGCCATAGTCTATGTTCATTGCATCACTGCTGGATCTGGTATTTTCGTTTACCAATGACCTTGTCTCTGGTTTACCATATGATGGATGAACTCTTTTCCCCTTTATTCAGTCTTACCTGAAAGTGAGGGGGAAAAAAGTCAAATCCAGTTTTTAATTTATTTACTGTTGATGAAAGATCAGTTTCTTCCTAGACAGAAAGGACACCTAAAGTAAGCTTAGAATTCCATGGGTTAAAAGAAAAAGAGGATATGAAAGACTTAAAAATGAATTATAAACATCTTAGACATATTTAATGTATAATAATAATATATTAAGCAGTAATGCAGAAATGACTTTGATATGTTTATGTTATTTTTCACTTATTTACCATTCTTTTGTCAGCATTGTTGAATAGAGAAACACTTTCCCCAGTTATTAAAAACATTAAAAACATGAAATTTCACAAACCAAATGTATTCCAATTTATCAGTTTTGTGCTGATTGATATGCAGGTATGGACTCTTTTACTACTTCATTCTAAAAATCCAATTGCAAGTAGAATCTATTGATTTTGATTTCTTTACCAAGAGCAAACAATTAATATCCAAATTACTTAAGTTGGCATGTATAAGTTAACTTTTCTTGATAACTTTTTTGAGATATATTTTATACGTCATAAAATTCACCCATTTGAGGTATACAATTTTAGTAACTTTAGCAAGTGAAGCAACTATCGTCAAAAATTAATTTTAGGGGCTTCCCTGGTGGTCCAGTAGCTAAGACTCCATGATTCCAATGTAGGGGGCCTGGGTTCGATCACTGGTCATGGAACTAGATGCCACATGCTACAACTAAGTGTTCATATGCCACAGCTAATAGATCCCTCATGCCACAAATAAGACCTAGTGCACCCAAATAAATAAATAAATTTTTTTAAAAAATCAGTATTAGAATGCTTTCATTCTTCTCATAGGACTTCCCTAGGGTCTCAGATGGTAAAGAATCCACTTGCAATGTGGGAGACCTGGGTTCAATCCCTGGGTTGGGAAGGTCCCCTGGAGAAGGGAAAGGCTACCCACTCCAGTAATCTGGCCTGGAGAATTCCATGGACTATATAGTCCATGGGGTCGCAAAGAGTCAGACACGACTAAATGACTTTCACTTTCACTTTCTTCTAATAAGATCCCTCATACCCATTTATAGTAAATCCCAATTTCCACCTGGAGCCCCAGGCAGCCACTAGCATTGGTCCTTGTTCTTGAATTTAGAGACAGGATTTAATGGGTTTACATCACCATTTCTTTTTTTCAATAGAAGAGTAATTGCTAGTTATTTCGCACAGGAAGTTTCATATGTTTAGCGATTCTAAATGGTTTTAGAACCCAAATGACAATCACTCATCAAGGACAAAACGTCTTAACACCACTTAGAGTAAAACTGAGGGCCCAGCTCATTCAGAAGGCTCCAAATTGTTAAATGTGAGAGTTGAAGGTAAATGTTCTTTAGTGACATAAATCTTGACTTTCAGTCCTCAGGGACTGAAAGCAGACTTTATACTAAGATTCTGCACAATAAACAGGAAACAGAGCTTAGTTAACAAAAAAGCTTGCTTACTAGTAATAAGTCACCATATCCCAGGCAAAATATCTATCAGGACAAGCCAATTTTGCTGAAACAAACAACCTAATTTTGCCATTTTTCTAGTGGCTTCCATTCTGGAGCTCAGGAGTTAGGAGTTGTTAATAAGCTTGCTCACAAAACCCTTACACCTGCCTTCTTGCATTTACTGGCTGTTAACTGTCATGTACCTGATGAGAGCTCTGAAGTGTCTTTACCTATCCCTCCAAAGTGGAAGCTAAGAGGTTGCACAGTGTACCTCCAATTACTGAAGTGTGGCACATCCTCTATGTGGGTCTCTTTCATATCTGTAGTCAACATATAGCATATCATTCTGGTCTATTGGCTACATATCCCATTAATCTGCTGTTTTGGGTGAGGCATAGAACAATAGAGAACTTCCCAGCTGGCTCCAGTAGCTGGGACCTAAGTAGCTCTCTGCCTGCCAGTGCCAGAGACCTAAGAAACACAGGTTCAGCCCCTGGGTCAGGAAGTTCCCCTGGAAAGAGGCATGGCAACCCACTCCAGTATTCTTTCTTGGAGAATCCCATGGACAGAGGAGCCTGGTGGGCTACAGTTTATGGGGTCACAAAGAGTCAGACATGACTGAAGAAGCTTAGCACACCACACAAAGAACAAGAAAAGACACTGTATCATGCCCAGGCTGGTGAAGCTTCTTTAATATTTGGGCCTTAGAAAATCCCATGACAATTAAAGTGTTTATGAGAAATGAACTTGACTCTGGCAAGCTCAAACAGGATCATATCAGCAGAGATCTGTAATGTTGGAGAAAAGTCATCTCCTGTTGCATCTCCTGTGTTGTGTGTGTATACCTTATGCTTCTTTCAAAGAACTATGTCTGGCTTTCTCCTGGGACTGAGTAGAGATCAAATGCATGTCTCCTCAGACTTTAGTTAACTATTGTCCGTCATGAACTAGTAACAAGCTCACCCCTGCTCCATAATGCTGGGTATTCTCAACTGCAATTCATAACCATGTAGAAATACTATTTAAGAGGCCAGGCTTGAGCAGGTCCTCTGGAGCCCTACAGGAAGGTCACAGGTGTGGAGCCTTATACAAAGGTCATAGGACAAAAATCTCCAGAATTAACTGAGCCCCATATGAACTGCTGCCATGAGCCTCATAATCTAGACTAACCAGCTCCCTGACCCCATAACCCACCCTATAGCATCCTAACCAATCACCTAATGAAATTTTCTGTGGTCTCGAGGCTATAAAAATTGACTGCTTGCTCGCAAAAGGGGTCAGCTTTCCCTTGAACTGGCAGTTGTTCAACAACATCTCCTGCTCTAACAAGCTCTCTTCTCCCCTCACACTGCCTCATCTCTGGAAATTCTTTTCCAACCCTCACACAAAAGGTCCTAATAAGTTTGCATGAGCTGGAGCTTGAATGCTGACCAGCAGCCTCATGGAGGCTTCTGTAAGAGCATTTGACTGAGGAATAAAAACCCAAGGCCCCACAGCTCATGAGCACCTGGTGAGAAGTAAACCTCTGCATGGCTGCAACTTTCTTGGAACACTGCCTGAAAGATGCTGGCGAAGGCAGACTTCCCTAGTGGGCAGAATCCCTAGCTCTCACATTCTGTTGTTCACTGCGTGTGGATTAAGCGACAAAAGGGTTATGGTCACATCATGAAATACCTGATGTAAGAAACTGGAGAAGAGGAAAAGGAAAAAGTGGAAAGTCATAGAGATTATAAACAAAATCCATCATATGGTGAAAGAAGAGCAACTTAATAGCTTGTGAACCACACACACTTCTAAGTGTTTACCCCATTTCTAAGCTAATCTGCGAAGAAATACTATCTCTAATTTCTGGAAATGAACAGAATCTAGTTTTTAAAGGTTTACTTTGGCAAAGGCTGTGCATCTATTTAATTTTATTTCAAGCATTTAAAGAAATGATTGCTATAGATGTATGATGGCAGTATTAAGAAGTTCAGTCAACTTAGAAAAACTTTTAAGGTCTTAATTTGGGGGCCAGTATAAGGCCACAGGGCTGGAAAAGGTCAGCTTTCATTCCAATCCCTAAGAAAGGCAATGCCAAAGAATGTTCAAACTACCACACAGTTGTGCTCATCTTACACGCTAGCAAAATAATACTCAAAATTCTCCAAGCCAGGCTTCAACAGTATGTGAACTGTGAACTTCCAGATGTTCAAGCTGGTTTTAGAAAAGGCAAAGGAACCAGCGATCAAATTGCCAACATCCATTGGATCATTGAAAAGGCAAAAGAGTTCCAGAAAAATATCTACTTCTGCCTTATTGACGATGACAAAGCCTTTGACAGTGTGGATCACAACAAACTGTGGAAAATTCTTCAAGAGATGGGAATACCAGACCACCTGACCTGCCTCCTGAGAAATCTGTATGCAGGTCAAGAAGCAACAGTTAGAACTGGACATGGAACAACAGACTGGTTGCAAATTGGGAAATGAGTATGTCAAGGCTGTATATTGTCACCCTGCTTATTTAACTTATAAGCAGAGTACATCATGCGGAATGCCGGGCTGGATGAAGCACACGCTGGAATCAAGATCACCAGGAGAAATATCAATAACCTCAGATATGCAGATGGAACCACCCTTATGCCAGAAAGCAAATAACTAAAGAGCTTCTTGATGAGAGTGACAGAGGAGAGTGAAAAAGTTGGCTTAAAACTCAACATTCAGAAAACTAAGATCATGGCATCTGGTCCCATCACTTCATGGCAAATAGATGGGGAAACAGTGGAAACAGTGACAGACTTTATTTTTGGGGGCTCCAAAATCACTGCAGATGGTGATTGCAGCCATGAAATTAAAAGACGCTTACTCCTTGGAAGGAAAGTTATGACCAACCTAGATAGCATATTAAAAAGCAGAGACATTACTTTGCCAACAAAGGTCCATCTAGTCAAGGCTATGGTTTTTCCAGTGGTCATGTATGGATGTGAGAGTTGGACTGTGAAGAAAGCTGAGCGCCGAAGAATTGATGCTTTTGAACTGTGGTGTTGGAGAAGACTCTTGAGAGTCCCTTGGACTGCAAGGAGATCCAACCAGTCCATCCTAAAGGAAATCAGTCCTGAATATTCATTGGAAGGACTGATGTTGAAGCTGAAACTCCAATACTTTGGCCACATGATGCAAAGAACTAACTCATTGTAAAAGACCCTGGTGCTGGGAAAAATTGAAGGTGGGAGAAGAAGGGGAAGACAGAAGATGAGACAGTTGGTAGGCATCACCGACTCAATGGATATGAGTTTGAATAAACTCAGGGAGCTGGTGACGGACAGGGAAGCCTGGCGTGCTGCAGTCCATGGGGTCACAAAGAGTCAGACACGACTGAGCAACTGAACTGAACTGATAAGGCAACTTGCTTAAAAGACTAAACATCCATTTAAATGAAATCCCTTTCACAATAACAAAAGCAGCAAAACTTAAACTACTGCAAAGAGGACAATTTGCTACTGTGCAGTCCCTAAGTCGTGTCTGATTCTTTACTATCCCGTGGACTACATAGCTCGCCAGGCTCCCCTGACCATGGAATCCTCCAGGAAAGAATACTGGAATGGGTTGCCATTTCCTTCTCCAAGGGATCTTCCCAACCCAAGGATCAAACCTGTGTCTCCTGCATTGGCCAGGGAATTCTTTTACCACTGAGCCACCCAGAACGACCCAATGATGTCATTACTACTTACATATAAGCTTTTAACAGAAATACCATTTATTCAACTTAGAAAAAAGTCTAGAGTCATCTTTTCTTCTAGGGCAACAAGTATCTTTAAACTTAGTGGAGGAGAACGAGGAGCAGATTTGCAAGCCACAGTCCGCATGCTCTGTAGAGGGTGTTATATTCTAAGCAGGTAAGTGAACAGTCTTTCTGCTCACAGGGTGAGCTGCTCAGAGATGGAGTGAAGTGTATCTTAATAAAACTCAGGCTGTGGGCTCTATTCTGCAGCATTATTTTCTCATTATACCTTGACTAGTAGCAGTATTCTATAGAAACTATCACACTTACTTTGCTCGATTTATATTTTCTTTTATATCTTGTTATTAACTCCTAAGTGACTTTGTTGCTTAAACTTAAAGAATAGGCATTTTGCCATAAACGAAAAAAAAATTTTTTTGTCTCACAGCTTCTATTTCCTTCAGCACCATTCAAATATCCGTGCAATAATGATTATTTCATTAAATTATTCATACCTTTATCTATTTGTTGCAGTCAAATATTAGCTCTCATTACAAAATGGATAGGCAGAATTATTAATTTAGATTGTTAGTTAAGTAATCTGGCCTTTCTGAGCAGGCAAAAATTAATTAAATGTCGCTTCTGGCTTAAAGTAGATTCTGCCCTGAGGTCTAGGCCATTAGCTGTCTCTGGTGGACGAAGACCCTTAGTCCACAGAGTGTGGCCCCTAAGACGTGTCTGGCTGCAGGAAATCTGAGCCGTGGCCTCGGGATTTCGGACAGCTTCATCCCCGCCATAGAGCTCTGACTAGTCTCTTTTTATTCCTTTGCTGTGCTCTGGTCACTGGGCAAGGCCCGCGTCTCCAATCACTCTGTCTCCTGCTGGCTCAGCAGCCCCTGAAGACTGACACCCACACTCTGCCCCCTCAGCTTGGAGAAGAGTCTAGAGCAGCCTCCCCCGCAGGGGGCTGTGTGTTTCTCTGGACTCCTAGCACAGGCTCCGCCCCTCTCTGTGGTCACCTTGCTCCCTCAGGCAAGCATCCCTCAGGCGCCTGTGAGGCCTGGTCCCGGTATGAATCAACATTGTCAGCTATGCACGGGCACTGACATCTGCCTCGACAAGGAGTAAATCAGGCGCTGCTGCAGCGGCTGCCCTCCAACGCTGCCATGGATGTGAGAGTGGACAATACAGAAAGCTGGGCCCCAAAGCACTGCTGCTTTTGAACTGTGGTGTTGGAGACTCTTGAGAATCCGTTGGACTGCAAGGAGGTCAAACAAGTCCATCCCAAAGGAAATCAGTCCTGAATATTCTTTGGAAGGACTGATGTTGAAGCTGAAACTCCAATACTTTGGCCACATGATGCAGAGGACTGACTCATTGGAAAAGACCCTAATGCTGGAAAAGATTGAGGGCAGGAGTAAAAGGGGACGACAGAGGATGAGATGTTTGGATGGCATCACTGAATCAATCGACATGAGTTTGAGCAAGCTCCGGGAGTTGGTGACGGACAGGGAAGCCTGGTGTGCTGCAGTCCATGGGGTCACAAAGAGTCAGACACGACTGAGTGATTGAATTGAGGACCAAGGAAGGAGGTAGGGATGAAGAGCAGAAATGAGAGTCTCTGTGCTCAGGAAAGCCTGGCAGGACCAGTCTTCAGACAGTTAAATATTCTCTGGAGCTGGTTTTATGAGCCCACTTCTTACAACTGCTCATATCTAGAAAAGCATAACACTCCTTTATAGTGATGACTGTTCCCCATGACTAGTGAAGGCTTCACTAAACTAGTAGAAGTTTCCGGAAAAATAAGCACATGATTGTGTATTTATTCACCAAAACCACAGGAGTCCTGGCCTTCCCCTCCTCTTTGGAGCGGTCTCTCAAAACAATCTGAGCTACTGTCTCCCAGGCCGCAGTCCTTATTTTGCCCCCAATAAAACTTAACTCGCAACTCTCGCGTTGAGCGTTTTTTGTTTTTAAGTAGACAGCACAGACCCAGGGGTGGTGCAGCATCTTCAGACACTTGCCTGCGGCACAGGGCCTCATATTTCCTTGGGCTTCAACCTCCTGTCCATTTGCAATGACCTGGGAGGAGGCTGCCACTCAGAATCCTAACTGGGATCTGGGGGTTGTCCCTGGCCTTTGAGTGTATCTCTTCCTCCCTGCAGGGATCAGGGTATGGGGCTGCTTCCACCTCCTTCCTCCTGGATTCCTTTCCAAACCCCAGGCTTTTCTTTTATCCCACCCATGTCCTACCCACAACCTCCGTAGTAGGCAGAAGAACTAGGCTTCCTCCCTACTCCAAGAGCAGGCAGCACTAGACCCCGTGGTTGGCACATAGAGCTGTTGTAAAAAGGAAAAGCAAACAGCAGTCTTTAGCCACATAATAAACGGGCTTGCCCAGAGAATTGTTTTACTGTGAAGTTCTATTTTTCACAGCAGCAACCATGCATTTGTATTCCTTCTGTAACATTACTAATCTCCTCAGGCAAATGAACCGCCCGGGGCAATGAAGCCCCAAGTCATGCATTAGTAAAGACATTTCATGAAGACACATTAATACGTCTGTTTTTTTTTCCCCCTCTGTTGAATAACTTGTATTGGAAATTCGTTGTGGGTCAGCACCAACTTACGAAAGATCATACTTAAGGTGAAGAGAAAAAAACAGTGGGACAAAAATAAATAAATCCAGAGTGGGTTTAACTCTAAAACACAGGAGTAATATCTATATAAGCAGAGGGCTGAGAAGCCTGCAGGCCAAAAACGGAAGCAAAACTTCTAAACCAGGGTTCATCAAAAATAAGACTTTATTACCTCAGATTCATGAGGTACACATTAAAAAAAAACAGTAAACACTCATCTCTGAATTGGAAATTCTGAATCTATGAATTTGAGTTGCAATTAAGATGCAATTTTAAGAAAGGAAAGTTCTGTAAATGGTTGTAATGAATTGCTTAAAGGAGAAAAGTTCAGAGTCTACAAGAAACACACACAGTGAGGCACATACGCACTCACACACACATTCTCACACACTGAGACACACACACATAATCATACACAAAAACACTCAGACACACTCACACGCACATAATCACTCACAGACACAAACACACACATTTCTCCATTGCACCCCCACTTCTGAAATGACCCTCTGTGTGAGAGATGGGCAGTTTTTGCAGGCACCAAGGAAAAACGTTCTTACAGATTCTTCTGAAAGAAAACACTTTACTACATAATGACCGTTACTGAGGCTGCTGAATGATGTATATGAAAGTTAAGAGAGTGGATCCCAAGAGTTCCCGCCTCATGGGAAAGAAGCATTTTTCTCTTTCCTTTCTTTTTATATCTGTGTGAGGTTATGTGTGTTAACTGGGCCTATTGTGGTAACTATTGCATAAGACAGGTAAGTCACCATCATTCCGCACACTTTAAAGTTACGTGGTGCCGGGTCAGTGACCTCTCAGTGATGCTCCCGGAAGGTAGAAACCATTTGTGAAACATCGGGCAAATTTTTGTTCCAGAAGTGCCACTGGCATGTGGTGTGCCAAAGAGCACAGTTAAAAAATCAGAAAGTTCTGGATTCCTCTATCCCTCGAGCAAAAGTTTTACTACTGCCACATTTTAAAATCAGCTCCTCCTTTTTTTCCCAGTTGCCTGGCTCTACCTGGCCACTCCAGCAGGCATGGAGCATTAGGCAGTGGGCATGCAGACTGAGAAATCCTGAGTGTAAAACACACCCAGGCTATCAAAGGCTTAATATGAGAAAGTACTGAAAAGTATTTCAGTCATTTTTACATTAACTACTTCCTGACATGATAATGTTTGGGATATCTGGAATTAAAAAGAATATGTTACTTAAATTGATCTCACCTGTTTCCTCTCCCTTTTTAAATGTGGCAATCAGAAAATTTTAAATTATCCCTGGCTCTAATTTCCAGCGTGCCTGATATTTCTGCTGGATCGTATTGCTATAGTATCTTAATCCTTCTAATTATGCTTATTTGAAGAAAATTATGCTTTTCCTAGAATGTGTTAGTTACATCTATATGTAAAAAAGAAAAAGCTTTACTGACACCTAAATAAAACAACCAAGCAATATGCTCTGAGAAATATCTTATTCGGTGTTTTGGAAAAGATATGTGCGTTAAAACTCAATCTGGATAATTAAAAATTTCCCTAGGTTTAGAAAGCATGATTTTTAAAATTATTTTAATGTCTTGACACAGATGTAGGTACATATAAATGCATGTGATTACATTAATAATCAAATCCTATATTTTTTAAATGCTTTTATGCTTAACTGTCCCTTTCACCATCTTAGATTCTCCACTGTCATCTCCACAGCATGCTAACAAAATAAGCAATCTGATTTGTAGCCTTCCTATATTTCCATGCTCAGATAATCAAATGCTCAGATATACTTGCATTGGCCAATAGGTGTGACATGCATGCTCAGTCGTTTAGTTATGCTCGACTCTTTGCCGCCCCATGGACTGCAGCCACCAGGCTCCTCTGTCCTGGTGATTCTCCTGGAAAGAACACTGGAGTGGGTTGTCATTTCCTCCTCCAGGGGATGTTCCCGACACCGGGATTGAAACTGCATCTCCAGCATCTCCTACACTGGCTGGATGAACCACCTGAGAAGACCCTGATAGGTGTGAATACGTCTGTAAATGTATCAGCCATTTTTGCTTTGCAAAAAAGTAAGTTCCTATTATGCACATTTTTCTAACTCCTTCCCCTTTCACTTACAGCTCTTTGTTGGCGCCACTCCAAGTCCACTTGTACTGCTTTACCTTATTGTTTTCAGTGTCTGCAGAGTATTCCAAGATGTGAGGTCAACGCAATATATTCAGCTACTTCTCTTTTGATGGGCAATTCTTTGTCTTTAGGTTTTATTTCTGTTTGCTTGCTTTCAGTCATTACAAGCAAGACTTTCATAAACACCCTCACACATATTTCAGATCGCCAGCAGTGATTGTTGTCAAGAGTTTTGTACAAAACGTGCACCCATGTTATAAAATGTTATAAAATAAATATTGCTGGCTTCCTTCTACACGCGATATGCTGTGTCATATTCTTTGATAATGGTAAGAATAAATGAATCCCATGCAGGGAGGAGACGCTTGCTCCCTCCATGCCTTGCCAGTGTGTTGAGCGTGAAAGAATATACTCTGCTCCTTTTAATCACTGTTGCCACACACTAGTAATACTGGCCATATTTTTTTAGTTTTCAAGTTGGCCATTTATATTTGCTCTTGTATCAGTTGACAATTTAAAGCAGCATCCGTCCATAGAACTTTCCACCATAGTAGATGTATTTTTTTTTTTTCTCATTAAACTTTTTTTAATGGGTCTCAAATTCTGTGACAGATTTTTGGTCAAGTTGTTTTCATTAAAATGTACTGATTTTAAAAACTAATAACTTAAACTGCCACACACAAAACATATGGTCCACAAAAACATTCTCCTTTCCTTCTGAAGGTTTTACGATGCATTGTTATCATTAACCAGTCTTTTACTATTAAATTTAAATGGCCAATTGAGACAAACAGTTCTGAGACCGTTCTTCCACCACTGATTAAGACTGGGGTGGCAGGTGTTGGGGATAATATTCATTTAGCCTTCTGAGCTTTCTGGGCAGACTTGGTGACCTTGCCAGCTCCAGCTGCCTTCTTGTCCACTGCCTTGATGACACCCACAGCGACTGTCTGTCTCATGTCACGCACAGCAAAACGGCCCAGGGGAGGATAATCAGAGAAGCTCTCGACACACATGGGCTTGCCAGGAACCATATCAACAATGGCAGCGTCACCAGATTTCAAGAATTTAGGGCCATCTTCCAGCTTTTTCCCAGAACGACGATCAATCTTCTCCTTCAGCTCAGCAAACTTGCAAGCGATGTGAGCTGTGTGACAATCCAGCACAGGTGCATATCCAGCACTGATTTGGCCTGGATGGTTCAAAATAATCACCTGAGCTGTGAAGCCAGCAGCTTCCATGGGTGGATCATTTTTGCTGTCTCCAGCCACATTGCCACGACGGACGTCTTTGACAGACACGTTCTTGACATTGAAGCCCACATTGTCCCCAGGAAGGGCTTCACTCAATGCTTCATAGTGCATTTCTACAGACTTCACTTCAGTTGTTACATTGACTGGAGCAAAGGTGACCACCATGCCAGGTTTGAGAACACCAGTCTCCACACGACCCACAGGGACAGTACCAATACCACCAATTTTGTAGACATCCTGGAGAGGCAAGCGCAAGGGTTTGTCAGTTGGGCGACTTGGTGGCAGGATGCAATCCAGAGCTTCAAGCAGGGTGGTTCCACTGGCATTGCCATCCTTACGGGTGACTTTCCATCCCTTGAACCATGGCATGTTAGCACTTGGCTCCAGCATGTTGTCACCATTCCAGCCAGAAATTGGCAGAAATGCTACTGTGTCGGGGTTGTAGCCAATTTTCTTAATGTGGGTGCTGACTTCCTTAACAATTTCCTCATATCTCTTCTGGCTGTAGGGTGGCTCAGTGGAATCCATTTTGTTAACTCCAACAATTAGCTGTTTCACACCCAGAGTGTAAGCCAGAAGGGCGTGCTCACGGGTCTGCCTGTTCTAGGAGATACCGGCTTCAAGTTCACCAACACCAGCAGCAACAATCAGGACAGCACAGTCAGCCTGGGATGTGCCTGTAATCATGTTTTTGATGAAGTCTCTGTGTCCCGGGACATCAATGATGGTAGCATAGTACTTGCTGGTCTCAAATTTCCACAGGGAGATATCAATGGTGATACCACGCTCACGTTCAGCTTTCAGTTTGTCCAAGACCCAGGCATATTTGAAGGAGCCCTTTCCCATCTCAGCAGCCTCCTTCTCGAACTTCTCAACTGTTCTCTTGTCGATCCCGCCACATTTGTAGATCAGATGGCCAGTCGTGGTAGACTTCCCTGAATCTACGTGCCCAATGACAACAATGTTGATGTGGGTCTTCTCCTTTCCCATTTTGGCTTAGGTTTAACGGTGGTTTTCACGACACCTGTATCCTGGCGGCAAACCCATTGAGAAAAAGAGATGTATTCTTTTGAAATGTATCAATGTCACTGAGAAACTGAATTTTAAATTTTGTTTAACTTTAATTTAATCTAAGTAATCACACTTGTCCTCTGGTTATCATAGTGGACTTTGAAGATTTAAATCCTTATCGAATTTTCTTTTTTCTTTATCTTGTAATTATCAAATAGCACTTTTCGTATTATAGAAATTAACACCCCATTTATCATCCATGGGCTTCCCTGGGCTCAACAGTAAAGAAGCTGCCTGCAATGCAGGAGACGTGGGTTGGACCCCTGAGTTGGGAAGATCCCCTGGAGAAGGAAATGGCAAGTCACTCCAGTATTCTTGTCTGGAGAATTCCATGGACAGACGAGCCTGGCTATAGTCCATGGGGTCAAAAAGAGTTGCTCATGACTGAAGCGACTAACACTTTCACTTTTTAAAAAATCATCTATCATATTTTTTTACATCTAGCTTTTAGATACATATTATATCTTTTTTAAGCAGGTCAGTTCAGTTCAATTCAGTTCAGTCGCTCGTTCGTGTCCGACTCTTTGCAGCCCCATGAACCGCAGCACAACAGGCCTCCCTGTCCATCACCAACTCCCGGAGTTTACCCAAACTCATGCCCATCGAGTCGGTGATGCCATCCAACCATCTCATTCTCTGTCGTCCCCTTCTCCTCCTGCCCCCATATCCCTCCCAGCATCAGGGTCTTTTCCAATGAGTCAGCTCTTCGCATCAGGTGGCCAAAGTATTGGAGTTTCAGCTTCAGCATCACTCCTTCCAATGAACACCCAGGACTGATCTCCTTCAGGATGGACTGGTTGGATCTCCTTGCAGTCCAGGGGACTCTCAAGAGTCTTCTCCAACACCACAGTTCAAAAGCATCAATTTTTTGGCGCTCAGCTTTCTTCACAGTCCAACTCTCACATCCGTACATGACCACTGGAGAAACCATAGTCTTGACCAGACGGAACTTTGTTGGCAAAATAATGTCTCTGCTTTTTAATATGCTGTCTAGGTTGGTCATAACTTTCCTTCCAAGGAGTAAGTGTCTTTTAATTTCATGGCTGCAGTCATCATCTGCAGGTAGATAATGCCAAATTTCATACATAGATATGTCTTTTAAATTTTTCTCAATAAATTTGGTATGTATTCATGATTTTATAATACATTTAACAAGTAGAGTGAGAGAAAGAGAAAGTACCTTGAATTGTGCCTCTTTCTTAACTATATAAAGTATATTCTAAAACTTTTCTTTTTTTCATTTTAATATTTACTCCTTAACAAATGCCATAGTTTTCAGATGGCATATTACTTTCTCTTTTTATCACTAAAAATGGACCTTATTTGCTTATTTTGATCATTTGTGCGTGTGTCCTTTTACTAAAACTATTAATCACCTGCTAGGGTTTTAGATGAAGCAATACAACTGTGATATAGATATTCAATGTTTATTAACTCTTTTTAATGTCTTCTTGACAATTTCTCATTTGTTAGGATATATTGAATACCGAAAACAACCTATGGTTTTATTGTTCTAAAAATTAAACTACCATGTAAGCTAGAAACTCGTGGGTACCAGATTGCTGAATATTAAGTTGAAAGTATACAATATTAAAAAGACAAACTTAAACTTACACAGTTGACTAGAAATCTTTCCCATGGGACCATGATGACTGGATGAAGGTAAGATGAAAGCAGAATGGATTCTGATTTAATCTCTTTTCTCACATACGGTAAATTTATGCGTGTCACTCAGTTAAGGAAAAGTTATATTTTTATTGCATAGAAGAAGCAATAAAAATAGGGCAGTTGTAGTTTTTTTCACACCAAGAAAATTGTGAATGTTTTCACATATGTCACCAAGATTTTACTTGTGCAGAAGACACAATATTGCAAATTTTCTTGAGGGTGCAATGCACTGTTGATTCAACAGACTTTCTACTTATACCGTGTCACCAGAATAATGTTTCTTCATTTATTTTTGAGTTAATGTATTGACATTTATCTCACATTTCAGTGTTGTTTCAATGTTTTAAAATGCATTTTTAAATTAATGCCTGCTAATTGAAAAACATTTAGAAAACCCCAAAATAATAGAGTAAGAACTGAAAACTAAAGACAGGGCAATGTTCAGAAAAGACATGGAGAATGAAATCCAACTTAACTACAACTTCAAATTACAGAGGCACATTTTCATTAAATGAAATTATACCACGTAAACCATCTTGAAAATACCAGTAAATTATGTAACGCATCAGTGGCAACACAGGTGTGCTTTCTACATGGTGTTTTATCCTGGGAAAAACCAGAAATGTCGAATCATTCTACTGGTTGTATCACCCACAGGGGACAAAGCGGAGATTCTACTCAGGTCCGCAGGGAAGCAGTGACTTCAGTTTATTAAAGCTGTGTTGGGTGTCCTGCAGGAACATGGATTGCAGACAAAAATAGGTTAAAATGCCATTTACCTGGAGAAACCAGTTGCTTCTGTGACCTTTACTACTAAGTCCACTATTGAAACTTTTCAGAGGTTCCATTCAGAATGAAACATAACCTCAAATATTTGTATGTGTGTCTAAATCAGAAGTGAATGTATTGAAACTTCAAGACCCCACTTAGACAAGCTCCTTCCAAGTCTTTGTACCTGTGCTTTTATTTCTAACTTTATGGTGCTTTTTCCCCCCTTAAAGTTGGCTATCCAGATTATTGAGATATGAGCTTTGGGGCCCATAAACCTTGGACGAAGAATCAAACATGACTGAAGTGACTTAGCACCAGCAGCAGCCAGCCTTAGTATCAATTAAACATATTTTATCCAAATTTTATCCTTAGAAAACATGCTATCAATAAAAAGTATCTTGTAAAATGTGACAATATTAACCTTCTCTGGTTCCAGCTGTATAAAGTGTAAGTTGCTAACTCATAGTGTTCTCTTACCATACTTAATTTGCTTCTCCTGTCCAAACTCCCTTTTTC